ATTCATTTATCCCACATATACTTCCTGAGCATCTACAGTGTGTCAGGGACTCAGGGACTGTTCTGGGCCCTGAAGAGACAGCCATGAACCAGACAGACAAAAAGCTCTCTCCTCACGGAACTGACAGTCCACTGAGCAAGAGGCTTACCATCAGTAATCAGTGTGTGAAGGAAACATCCCAGTGTTAGATGTCCTTCAGAGAACGGAAACAGGCACGGGAGAGTGTGTGTGTGGGTGTCCGGGCATCAGAGTGGCCGGGGAACCCTCTTGGAGGAGGGGACACTGAGCAGAAGCCTGAGTGCAAGGAGACTGCGGGGAGAGCCCTGCGGTGGGTGGTGGGCTTGCTGGCCCGTTAGAACAGCTAGGGGCCCATCGTTGCTGGAAAGGAGTTGGGGGTGGGGGTGGTAGGAGGCCATCGGAGAGATGGGAAGGGGCCAGATCCTCAGGTCTTGTGGGCCCTGGAGATGTTGGCTTTGATTTTTGGTGCCCTGGGGAGCTCCCGAGAGTTCGGGGTAGGGGCTCTGACTCAGGTTACAGACACCTAATCTTGCTGACCCTGTCAAAGCTTGTGGGGCCCCCGCCAGGTTGTCCCTGTTCTCCACATGGAGACTGAGGATGGGAGAGGTTCCCAGCGGTCACGGGTGCTGGGGTTCTGCTGAATGATGGTGGTGCCCCCTAGAGGTGGGTTTCTCAGATGAAGCCAAGAACTGCGCCTGTGGGGGAGCATCCTATGCAAATCGGGACCACAGTGACACTGACCATTAACACAGCGCCACTCACCCAGGGCCCACAGCAGCACCACGCAGCCAGAGCTGGCATCACATCCATTTTACAGACAAGGTAGTCGAGGCCCACAGAAGAAGCAGAGGAGGGGCTCTGGAATCTAGAGCCAGGGGCCTTGGTTTTAGACCTGATCATCACCTTCGAGTGGGGTGACCTTGAGATCTCTGAGCCTCAGTGTCCCCCTCTGTATAATAGGGGTCATAACAGTACCCATCTCATTGGGTTGCCATGACAAATAAATGAATACATTAAAAAACAGTGCCAGCTACCGCTCAGGGAACACAGTCAATAATATTGTAATAACTTCGCACGGTGACAGTTGGGTACTAGANGCTCAGGGAACAGTCAATAATATTGTAATAACTTCGCACGGTGACAGTTGGGTACTAGACTTAGGTGTGGTGACCCATTAAGGTATATAAGCGTGGAACCACTATGTTGTACAGCTGAAACTAATACAATACTGTATGTCAACTCTCCTTAATTAGAAATATTTTGTAACAAAGCAGTGCCAGTCATCATTCAGGAAAAGTGATACATTAACTATTTTCACTGTGAAGTCACCTTGCTGGGAAATCAGGGCTGTCCCTCCTGCAGTGTTTTGCAGAATGAAGGAGTAGGAGCTGCCTGGACTTTGAATCAGGCAGGGTTTGGGGAGGGGAGGAAAGGGCACGCCAGGCGGAGGCCACAGCCTAGGCGAAGGGGCGGCCACGTGGCAGTGCCCCTCAGCCTGCCGTTCTGGCTGTGTCCCCTCGCTGTCCTCAGGGAGCCAGCTGAGTGCCTCCTAATGTTTCCATTTGCTTTTGGCCGCAGGTTAGGATCTGTTTTTAGCTTCCCTGGCTGGTGTCACGGCCCCCAGCACCCCTCCTGCTGGCTCTCTTGTTTGCTGTGGTGGAATAATGTTCCCGGACATCCTGAGTTGTTTGTTTGAAGGCAGCCGGTATTGATTGAATTTTGTGTGTACTCAGCCTGCGATGCTAACAGAGATCTGCCCGTCCCCGGTGTGCCAGGGTCTCAGAAAACCCTGGGACGGGAGGAGCAAGGCTGGGGATCCCTTAGAAAATAAGCAGGTGATTTTAAGGCCCCTAACCCTGGTTTTTCCTCTTTTAGGCTGTGTGGGTTTGGGCAGCTGCAGTCACCTCTCTGGGCTTTTTTCCTCTGAAAAATGAGGAGAGGAACATTTTTTATTTCATAGGATTGTTGGGAAGACTCAGTTCAACTTGCTCCTTCGACATCTATCTATTGAGCACCTACTATGGGTCAGGCACTGTTCTAGATTCTGGAGATACAACGAGAATAAGGCAAAGTCCTAACCTTCAGGGGAGTGACAGGCTGATGATGGTTACAGAAAACAACAGAAACTCTCCTTTCTGCCAGGCGACGGGAAGAGCTATGAAAATGCAGCGGGTAGGGGCTTGGAAGGAGCAGGGCACTATTTTCGACAGGGTGGTCAAGGAAGGTCTTGAGAGGACGAGAAAGTGAGCCTGGATAAAGGAGATCCGGGCAGAGGGAAGGACTTGTGCAAAGGCCCTGGGGCAGGACATGCCTGGGATGCCGGAAGGGGAGCCAGAAAGCCCATGGTGGGGAATGAATAAAGAAGAGCCCGGAGAGGAGGCCTCAGCGGTGTGGATGCCAGGCTACACAGCACCTCGTAAGTGGTGCAGAGAATGTAGCGCTTGGCCTGGCACCCCGAGCACCTAGCTAAACCAGGGACCCTGTGGTTGAATGAGACCCCAGCTGCCCACCTCAGACCAGCGCCTGACTCACCACCTTCAGCTGGCCTTTACTTCTGGGATGCTCAGGGGACAGATCCAGGCGAGGGGGCAGAGGGGGAGCTGAGGGGACCACCTAGGGGAGACAGAAGGTGGAGGGAGGGTTGTGAGCTGCCAATTTCTTCTCACCTACATGTCCTCCTGCCTGGTGTCCCAGCATCCAGGCACTGTTGTGGACCCTGGAGATGTAATGGACAATAGGACAGTCCCAATGCTCAGGAGGGCTCAGACTGGAGAGAGCCATAGCCTCAGACCCTCAGGGAAGCAAAAGTCCAGGCCCCTAGCACCCTAGAATCCTGTCACCACCCCATCCTCTCTCAGACCCAGGAGACCAGGCCCCCGGCCCCCCTCCCTCAGACCCCAGGAATTTTGGTTCCAGCTCCTGCCTGGCCCTGCTTACCTGCTCCAGCTCCTCTTCTCCACTTTCCTGGCCATTGCTGTTCCCCGGGTCCTTAGCAGTGGCCCTGGCTTTCCCTGGCCTCCATTGGAACTGATGGATAGTCACGACCTCTCGGCCCTTGATCTCGTTGCGGCAGAAGGGGCAGGTCTGGTTGTCTGATTGCTGGGGGTGGGGGGGAAGGGTCAGGGTCTCCCTGCAAGAGCCTTCATCTCCAGCGCAGTGACGTGGGGAGGGCAGAGAGAGAGGAGGAGTCATGGAGAGAGGGAGACGGGGAGAGAGATGCAGAACAGGAAGGGGCAACTGGACCAGAGCCTGAGGCCAGGGGAGCCCACTGGAGCCAGGGTGTGGGCCCCAGCCATCGATAGTGAAGCTCTGGGCGCAGAAGGCCTGAGGCACTCACCTAGGCCCCCAGAGACATTCCCCCACCAACACCAGGGTGGCCCAGTTGGTTGGAGTGTTGTCCCCTACACCAAAATGTTGCGGGTTTGATTCCTGGTCAGGGCATATACCTAGGTTGCAGGTTGGATCCCCAGTTGGGGAGCATATGGGAGGCAACCAACTGATGTTTGTTTTTTCTCTCTCTCAAATCAATAATAATAGTAATAAAAAAAAAATATCCTCAGGTGAGAATGAAAAAAACCATAGCAACAAAGCATAGGAGCAGGAATTAGGGTATAGAAAGGGAAAAGCATGGACCACCTAAGTAGGTTCCCCAGGGCTTTCTAAAGGGGAACTTCATGAGTGGGGGCAGCCTAGTTCCTTATCTGCTTTTGCTAGTAGCTGTGTCATTCATCTGGCAATTTGCTCACTGGAGACAGATATCTCTGAAACGGATGACTCAGCTCAATGCCAGGCATTTACATTACGGTAAAAGGTAGGTGATGTCATGCACTCAGGCCTCCTTTCCCCCCAGGGGCCTTCCCTGAGGGCTTCAGGGTTTGGATTCTCACCCTGGCCCTCGGGGGTTTGCTCCTGTCAGCTCAGTTCTCCAGAGGCTAAGGCTGGGAGAGGTGAAGCCACTAGCCCCAGATGGCCCAGTGAGGGAAGGAAGGAGCTCTTTCCATGAATAATGTAGCTGGAGAAGGAGAAGCAGAGGTGACAGGCGTAGAGTGAGACAGGGACACACACACACACACAGACAGGTGGCTCCAGGCCCTCACCCCCAAGTGACCCTGAGCAAGTCTCTGCTTTCCTGGGCCTCAGTTTTCCCAGCTGGTCCCTGAGGCCTGTGGGAGATCCTTTAGGGGCTTTTACCAGAGAGAGGGGAGACGGGGTGGGAAGGCAGGGCGGGCGGACCCACCTGCCAGGCAGCCAGGCAGCTGCTGCACAGCAGGTGCCCGCACGGCTCAATCTTCACGTCCTTGTTGCTCTCGGCACAGATCTTACAGAGCTCGAACGTGGAGTCCATGGCCCAGTACAGCTGCAGCTGCTCCTGGCAGGCAGGAAGATGGGGCGGTGGGAAGCTTGGCGACACCAGCCACGGGATATAGAAGAAAGTCCCAAACCTCCAAGCCAGCCCCCAACCCTCTCCCAAGTCCCAGGCCCTGTGTCTGCTGCCTCCTACAGGTACCCTGTGTTATGAGATGTGCTCCCTGGGGTGGACTGCTCTCAGGGTTGCCAGATTTAGCAACTAAAATTACAGGATGAGCCCTGGCCGGGTGGCTCAGTTGGCTGGAGCATCATCCCATACACCTAAAGGTTGTGGGTTCAATTTCCAGTCAGAGAACACACCTAGGTTACGGGTTCGAGACCCAATTGGGGTGTGTGTGGGAAGCAACTGATCGATGTTTCTCACATCATTTCTCTCTCTCCCTTCCTCTCTAAAAAATCAATCCTCAGGTGAGAATTAAGAAAAACAAAACAGGATGCCCTATTACATTTGATTTTCAGATACATAAAGGATAAGGTTTTAGGCATAAGTGTATCCCAGATATTGTGTGGGATATACTTGCACCTAAAAAAAATTATTTGTCATTTCTCTCCACCCACAGGCGACTGTGCCAACTATGGGCCTCACTTGAGTGAATGCTCAAGTGCATCAGCTGTCCTGATGATCTCAGAAATATAATTTCCTAGTCTAATCCCCATGAAAACCCCTGGGTAGGAGGCAGGAAGAGCTGTATTTCCCAGAGAAGGAACAGAGGCTCAGAGAGCCCAAGTGATTTACCTCAGGTCACATGGCCATCACACCAGCATGAAACCCCAAGGCCTCTGGGATTCCAGGGCCTGACTCGGTGCAAGGGAATTCCTGAGTCATGTGTGGGTGCAGGGAGGGGTGGGCAGTAAGCAGGGCCAGGGGAGGGGGGCACAGGCCTGGGCCTCACCTCTGACACATGGATGTACTGATGGGGCTCCATGTGGCAGAGCTCAGTCAGGTCTGGGTTGTGGTTCTTCCCATCTGGGTAGAGGTAGCTGGGGAGGGAAGAGAGGGCTACTGAGGGTGCCCAGCCTGGCCCCCCAGACTAACAAGGACTCCCCACCCCCTAGATGGGGCCCAGAGCCCAGAGCTCCCAAATGAGCAGTTGCCCCAAATCTCTTGCTGGCCTGGGGATATTTTTCTCCTGACCTCAAAGTGATACTCTCCAGGGCAAGGCATGTCCCCTCAGACCCCCATAGATGGGCACTCATAACCTAAGTGACCCAAGCTCTGGGAACATGGATCAGATGAATGGGAACCAGGAAAATGATCAAAAGTCAGGCCTCGTCCTCCCAGAATGTCACCTGTCCTAGAGTATTCAGGCCTGAGCATAACAGCATCTCAGAGTCACAGCTTCCCGTAGTAACCAAATCCTAGAGTCAGACTAGTGGGACTACAAGGACCCTCCTGGACACCTAAGCTACTTCTTGCTTCATAGCTGGTGACTGAGGCCCAGTGTGGGGGAGGTAACTGCCCAAGGCCACACAGTGAGGCCCGGAGGGACGCAGACCAGGGCTGGGGGCAGGTTTGGTTTCAAATCCCAGCTTGTCAGCTCAGCAGCTGTGTGACCTGGGCAAGTGTCTCTGCCTCTCTGTGCCTCAGTTTCCTCAGTTGTCAAGTAGGAATAGAATAATATATGTGTGGGCCCAGCCGGCATGGTTCAGTGCTTGAGTGTCAGGGTTGGATTCCATGGCAGGGCACATGCCTGGGGTGTGGGCTGGATCCCCAGCAGGGGGCGTGCAGGGGGCAGCCGACCAATTGTTTCTCTCTCTCTCTCCCTCTCCCTTCCTCTCTCTGAAATCAATAAAGACATTAAAAAGAAGAAGAAGAAGACGGCTCTGGTTAAGGGTCCAGGATGGAACTTGAGACCCTCACCTGCCTTTTCTTCTCCCCTCGTGCCCAAGGCAGCTTCTGGAAGAGAGGCCCTGGGGCAGCCAAGGTTACAGAAGGAAAACCACCAGCCCGGCTGTTTGCCCAGTTCTCTTTCTGCCCTAAGTGTGGCGCCCAGAACACCATATAGGTATGGAGAAGCAAAAGCTCTGAGTGAAATTTCAAGGGATGGAGCCGCAAGGGGGTTGTGCTCCACTCCCCACCCCCTTCTGGGACCGGCTGCTGGCGCGTAAGGCAGCTCCGTGGGAACTGGAAAAGGTGCCCCTTCCTCCAGGCCTCGCCTGCCACCTGCTGGAACACCGCAGTATTGCAAGTTCATGACGCCCGCTGTGCGAGGCGCTGTCCCTGACACCCTCCCCCCCGCAGGGATGGGACTCACAAGCCTTCCTTCTGTCCTTCCAGGAGTGCCTGGAACAGGGGTTTGTTGTGGGGGATGGTCTGCAGGATGCTGCCATCTGAGGTCACGTATCCGATGGCCCACTGCCCCAGGCGAGTGCAGCTGGGTCGGAAGATGTAGCTGGAGGAAGAGGCAGGTAGGATTGGGGGAGAGAGCGGTCACCACTGTCCCTTCTGCGATTTCCCAGTCCCTAACACTGTTGGGGATCCTCACCCCTTATAACCCAGCTCCCCCTTTAGGCAATGAGGTGCTGTATTGTTGTGTGCCTGCTTGGCTCCTCCTCTCTCACTAGGGTTTAGACAAGGTTGGCTCTGGCTTGGCCAATCAGTGCATTTCAGGACCCCTGACCATAGGGGCGGGAGTCAGCCCTGGGACTTTTGCTGGAAGTTCCAGTAAGGTACCCCATTTCTACAGAGGTAGCTAAGCTGGTAGGGCATACTGCTGGGGAGTCTAGAACCCACGAGGAGACCATGTCTGCGAATGAAACTAACACAGACGAAAGCAGAGACGGGATGGGCAGGGTCTGATTCTTGAGGATAGCATGTGAGCACCTGGATCCAGCCCTGCCTGAAGCCTGAAAAGACACTTGGTCTTTTCAGTAATGGGCATTCATTCATCCCTTTCTCTTTCCCTTTAAACCAGTTTGCAGTGTAACTGGAAAAGTGCTAATACACTTGCTGTCTTGGGGGTCCTGCACCCCAACCCTGCAAAAACTCATGAATCTGACCTATTCCCTTGACCTCTTGGTGTTCCAGGGAGCTCAGCCCCTCAATTCTTAATCCTCTGTGGGGACCCAACAGCTTAAAGCTTCTGACTTGAAATCATTTCAGGACTCAGGTGCCTGGTTCCTAGTCTCCTATCCCAGTAGGTGTGAGGATTCCTATTAAAAATATTTAATAAATGGTACAGTGTGGGCTCTGACCTACCAGAAATGGAGCTTCTCCTAGGGCAGGGTCTTTAGGTCCACTGCCAGAACAGGTATTGTCCCATTAGCTCCTGGACTGTGGGAAGGTCCAGGAGGTCTCAGGAGAAGAGGTGGGGTGGCAGGGGGCAGTCAGTGTTCTACCTCTGAGTTCTCCACTCTTTGGGATCCCAGGTACCTCAGTTCTTCAGTTCTTGTTCTCTGAAGGATGTCTGGGTTTCTACCATCCCCTAGCTCAGAACCAAGAGCCTGGACCCCTTGGTAGCCTCTTCCTCCTGAGGCCGGCCCTTTACCTGCCTGGCTTGTCCCTGCAGGCCTGCAGACGTGCTCGGACCTCATCGTATGTGAGGAATGCCATGTAGCCCGGGTGGTTGACCGCCAGAAGCTGCCAGTTCTTGAGGAGTGTTGGCCATGGCTGGAGAGGGTGATGCTTGAGTCGGGGAGGCGCCGATGGAGCAGCCCCCTCTCCTAGTGCTTCCCAAGGTCCAAAACCCAGCCACCTTGCTCACACCACAGTGGGCCTCAGGAATTTCTCTCTTTTACACAAAAGATTCCAGACCCTTATTCCCCAGGACCCAGGAGTCAGGGACCCCAGCCCCCTCCTCCCACAGGGCCCGAGTCTGGGCCCCCAGCCTTGGCCTTCCCTCACCTGGAAGAGCCTGGTAAAGATGTCAAATTCAAAGATGGACACGTGGCCACTGCAGGTGAGGTCAATGGTGGAGCGCAAGGCGAGGGTTGTGGGGCCTGACTCCACGGGGTGGCAGGTGCAGAGGAGAGACTCAAACTCAGCCCAGGGCAGCACACACCTGGGTAGAGGGATGGGGGGGGGGGTGTGCAGGTGAGGCCTCTGGGAGCCTAGGATGAAGGACATCTAGGAAGGAGGCAGCAGGGCCTGGACTCCTGGGGGCCTGGGCAGGGGCAGGATGAGGCTCCAGGGGCCCCAGGGACAGGTGCTCACTCACCGGGCTCCGCAGTGCTCTCTCCAGAAGGTGCTGGCTGCGGTCTTGGTGAGCTGGTATGTGTGTCCACAGTACTTTCCCCCGGGAAAGAGCGCCCTCAGCTCCGAGTACATGTGGCTGAAGATAAGGGCCAACTTGGCCAGCTGTCGCCTGTGGGGATGGGCTCTGAGCACCTGGCTGAACCCTGGGGCTCCCACTGACACCTCCACCCTCTGTGAACACCCATAGGCCCCGGACTCTGATCAGCGGCGCAGGGTAAAGCGGACTCCGACACTGCCCGCAGCAGCCCTGATGCCTCCCCTCCCCCTCTCAGAGCCTCAGCTTCTTCCTCTGGGGAGGAAAGGGGGTGCGGCCTGGAATCCTCACCAGGAGCGCACAGACCCCAGGCTCTGCTGAAGCCCGAGGGGGCCAGAGGCCAAGCCCTGCCTAGCTGGTCACGGGGACTGCTAGCGCTGAGGGCATTTCGAGGGTCTGGGTGCAGGCCTTGCTCGGGCCTTCCTCCTGGTTGGAGCAGCACTGGGTGGCAGCCT